GGAAAGAGACAAGTTTTTATTTAAGTTTATTTATTTATTTATTCCATGAGTGAGAGAGAGAAATACAGCACCCCCAACAGGGTCCTGCTACCGTGACCCACCTTCAGCCTCCACCAGGCTGGATTATCTGGTGCACTGAGGGAGGCCTGTGCACACAAACCAGCAACCCTCCCGGGTGGGTCTTCTTGTAGTGTGACATTCTACTGCTTTGTCACCACCTAGCCCTCAGAAATAGGTATTTTGACAAGGTCTCACAGTGTCACAGACTGCCTGCCCCAGCCTAGGGTCACAGGTGTGTGCATCCATGCCCAATGTGTTCAGGTTGTCTTGGGAACCAAATCCAGGTCTCCCGTGCAGGCCCTGAGCAGTGGTGCTACCTGTGCGCCACCACAGCTGGGCCCAGATCTTCTCTTGGTTCTGCTGCTGTAGACATGACCCCCTGGCCGGAACTGGTCATTGTTTGGGGCTTGCTGGGGCGTCATGTGATTGCTTCATATCCTCCTCTTCAGATGTCCCCGCCCAGCTTTCCTTCAGGGTCCCCAGTCCTGCGGCTCAGCCCCTGCCTGCACAGGAGCCTGGAAGGTCTCAACCAAGAGCTGGAGGAGGTGTTTGTGAAGGAGCAGGGGGAAGAGGAGCTGCTGAGGGTGAGTGCTAGCCAGGCCTCGCCTGCACCGACAGCGTTTGCTGAGCTGAGGTGGGGGGGAAGCAGAAGTCTCCCTTTCTGGGACCCAGACTGTGGCTGCAAACGGCCATGCACAAACACCTACCTGCAAGGGGAGTCCATTCATCTCAAATAGACTTCACCACAGGGACAGCAGAGATGGGGGGTGTGTGTCTGGGGGAGACTTTGTGGTGCTGGGTGGAAAGGAAGGAGTGAGGATTGGCAGAGAGGAAGTCCCCGGCTGTACGCTGGGCACTACCTTAACCCAGCTGCCAGCTCACCCTTCCTGTGCGTGCGGCACCAGCAACAGCACCACCCACCTGTGCCTCAGCTCATGCCACCCACCCTTCCATCCCTACCTGTGACATGCACTCATCCTTCATGTCCGTTGTCCCTGCGCAGCCTCCTCCCCCGCCCCATTCCCAAGCAGAATGGCGTGTTACCCCTTGTGCAGTCTCAGGTACATTTCTACACTGACACAGTACACCTGGGACATGCCAGTCAGGTGGCATGAACGTCATTCTGATGGGTACTCTCTCGGTTTATGACCTGCCTGTGACTGACGTTTTGATACACACCCAAACACATGCACACACTTTGAGCTGTGGGTACGAGCATCACTGAATGTTTTGGGAAGGGAGGGAAGAGGCATTCAACCCATGACAGTCACCTGCACACTTGTCCTGCAGTGGCTTGCATTACCATGCTGTGCCTCTCTGCATCTGCCATTCAGCTCTGTCCCCAGAGCCTAGCACTCAGAAAGTCCCTGCCCTTGCGAGTCTGATAGCCTAGTGGGGCGACACTTTGATCACACCGCACAAATGAATCTGTAATTACAGACAGGACTGTAGGTGCTATGAGGGAGAAGAGCAGAGTGCTATGGGGAAACAGGAGGAGGTGTGGGGAAACCACAAATGGCTGGAGGAAGGGGCTCTGTCAGGGTCACTGCAGTGCTGCAGGCCCAAGAAGACCCAGGACTGAGGCTCTGCCCCTCTTCCTCACCAGATCCTTGACATCCCCGATGGGCACCGCGCCCCAGCTCCCCCCCAGAGTGGCAGCTGTGAGCATCCCCTCCTCCTCCTGGAGCCCGGCAAGCTTGCCAGCTCTCCCTCTGTGCCCCTGGCTGCCCCTCAGCCTTCTGGCCAGGCCAGCCGTGAGGAGCACCGGGGCGGCGTGGAGGAGCTGGCATCCATCCCCCAGGACAAAGGTAAGCCAGCCGCCGTGGCCCAGGCAGCAGGGCGAATGCTGGACTGTGGGCGGGTCTACCACCTCTTCCTTCTTTAGTCAATTTCAGGTCTAGCCTTTTCACATACTTAACCAGAATATCTTTCTAAGTCATCTTTATTTCTGCACATCACATCTATACTAAGTGTTCCCGCGCATTGCATTCTGATTTAGTTCATAGAGGCTCTGCCCCTGTGCTTTATTCTGCCCTCACTGGAGTCCAAAGAAGCGTTCCTTCCCGTCCCCGGTTTCTGGCTGAGGGACAGCAGGTAGTAGTAGAAAGGAGTGCGTGTCTGGTCAGGGGCCCACTCCACTCATCAATACGAGCGGTAGGTCTGAAGGTAGTTGCAAATGAACTAAACTGAGAGAGTGCGGGCTCTTGCCCAGGGTGTGACCCAGATGGAAACCCAAACGTTCTAAGTCCATGTCTCTGCCTTCTCTTGGGCCCTGGCTGCTTCCCTGAGAGGACGAGGTATGAGTGCAGTCTCCCTGGGAGCCCGATGTCACAGAGCACTATTGCCCACATCACCTGATCTGCTTCTCCCAGCAACCCTGGGGTGGGCTGGTCAAGGGCGTGACCTAACAATACACGTGGGTACACAGAGCAGAGAGTAAGGAGGAATAAATGTGAGATACATAGATAAAGTCAGTGTTTGCCACCAGGCAGAGCTCGTTGTGGAAAGTGAGAGGAATTTTATCCCACAAGTGGGGTTGAGTAAAGATCGCAATCTGGTTCAGTGAGTTAGAACCGGAGCTCTTCCTGGAAGAAGGGATAGATTTTCGAGACTGAAAGGAAGAAGCTGTGGTATGTGTCATCAGGCAGGGTGCTACAGCCTTGGAAGAAGGCAGAGAGAAGCCATTAGGATTCCTTTAGGTCTGAGACTCGGGGTTCGAGGCCAGCCTACCTTCTGGGAGCTGATATGAGACCTAATTTTTCCATTGAGTCAACTGTATTGTTTTTGTTCAGTTATTTGCTATGAATTTTTGAAGGCCACTTCAAAGGTTTGTATAAACAAATGGATTGGCCTAAACACTGTCACCTACCTTCCCTTGTGACTCCCAGCCTCGTCCCTCTCCACACAATGCCTGAGCCCAGGAGAGTGCAGGCCTTTCCTTCAGCTCACAGGACTCGGCCTTGCTCTGTCCACAGCCTCCTCTCCAGGCAGCCCATCGCCAGTTCTTGCCTTTGCCGCCTCCCCTCGGCCCAATCACAGCTACGTCTTCAAACGGGAGCCCCCAGAAGGCTGCGAGAGAGTGCGTGTGTTTGAAGAGGCCACGTGAGTACAGCAAGTGGACAGGGTGGGAGAGGGTGGGGCGGGGAGGAGGGGAAGCCCTGTGTGAGCCCACCTGATGGGCCCACCGTCAGTCTCGGACTCTCTCTCATCATAGAGGTGTTGTCAGCCTGAGATTACCCCTACTGCCGTTTTTCTGTGATCAAACTTGTTGACATTACCTACTCTGAGCACTTAAATCTTTGCTTATCATTATCTCCATAGAAACCTGCTCTCTGCCCACATGCCAGTCACCAGCGCGGCAGGAGCTGGGAGGGGAAGCTGTCTGAAACCTAAGCCCTTTGTTTCTTCTATTTTTTTCCATCCCCAGGGAAGGTGTGAGAATTTGCTAGACCATCATCAGAGAGATGATGAAAGAGGGAAACAGAGAACGTATTAGTTCTCTTCGGTCACGTAGAAGTGTCGCATCCCCGCTGGAGTAGAAGGGAGAGTTTCAACAGCTCTTCACTGCTCTGAACCAAGCCTGTGGCTGTGCTGGTTCAAGTGTCATAAGCTCCCTGACAGAAATGTCCAGTCCTTGCAAGTAAGGAATATTCCCAAACCACAGTGGGAATTCAGAAGCCATCCCGCTGATCGCTTTACAACTGCCTCCCATTAGCAGAGACACTTGAGAGCTAGCCTCTCCCAAAGGCCCTGCTGTCCCCCGCTCTGCAGCACCGTCGGCTCGCTTCCTTACCCTGCCAGCCCAACATCCATCGGGCGGATTCACACCGGAAGCTGTAGTTTCAATGGCAGTCAGGAAGTTTAGTCACGGCGCGTGAGTGAAGATTTCGCTGCCACTGGGTGTCAGGCATGGAGGGTGCCGTTTGTATCTCTGTAAGAGGGAGAACAACGTAGGGTTGCTTAAGGAGCATACAGTACAGGGGCCTCCAGAAGGTTCATGGGAATGTGGATCATGAAACACTATGCCTGTCTTGCAGAATGTTTTGCACTAAAATAAACTCGTACTTTGATTTCCTTTTTCCATGAACTTTTTGAAGTCCCCTCTCCTACAGCTCAGAGTAGGAGTTACGTAGAAAACCACTGCCACCAAGGGTTTCATTACTATCCTTGTTACCATTGGTCTGATTTCCTTCAAGGCCCCTGGGTCTTCTGAGGAGTCAGGGAGGAAAGAGGCCAGATTACCCATGTTTTTGTTTTTGTTTTTTTGAGAAATTTTTGCTATAGGGCACATGTGCCCGCCAGAAAGACAGAGAGACAGAAAGCGAAAAATCACCTCCCAGGGGGATGGCCACGCCACAATCCCTTCTCCTCCATTCTCCTCTTGGGATCTTGGGCACACATGCACATGTGCCAGGAGTGAGTTCAAGCCACCGGTTCCAGGACTCGAACCGTGGTCAGCCACATGGGAGTCCAGCAACATAGCCATTACACCAACTGCTGGTCCCCAGATCTTCTATCTTATGCAGACTGGCACTGATACCTTCCCACAAACCACGTTACAGTCGAATAACTGCTCCTGGAAATGCTGGTAGAAATTAAGCTGTGGCTGGTCTTGGTTCTTTCACGGAGTCGCGTCACTAGGGGAGAGGAGCCAAGCTGTCGAGGGTCATGCTGGTTGCTCTCCTGTCCTTTGAGAGCTGCTTGGTCTCCTGCTGATCACCCTTCTCAGGCAAACATGCATCTGTCCTGCACATTCTCTCCCCCCCCCCACTCCCTGCCTTCTCTGTCAGGGACAAACTCCTGGACACACGGCTTGCTGGAGCGCCTCAGGGACAGACCCTGGACACACGGTGTGCTGGGGCCCCAGGGCTCCTCACACACCCTGCGTGTGGCCTCCCCAACTCCACCGCTTCTGTCTGTGCCTCACGTCTGCCACGCCTCACACCTGCTCCTGCCGGGCCTCGGGGTCAGAACTGTAGAACTGAAGTGGGAGTACACTGGGGACATCTTTCTGTGTATATATTATGTACTTCAATAAAAAGCAGGAAAGAAAAAGGGAGTCAGTTGGAACCATTAGTGACAGCCCGGAACCCCCATAAGCAGTCACTTCTCAGGCTTGTTCTGCCCTCTTCACTTGCCCAGTTCGTCTTCTTTTTCCATCTTTTTTTTTTTTTTTTGGAGAAGTTTTTGCTATAGGGCACATGCGCTCGTCAGAGACAGAGAGACAGAAAATGAGAAGTCACTCCCCGGGGGGAATGGCCACGCCACAATCCCTTCTCCTCCGTTCTCCTCTTGGGATCTTGGGCACGCACGCACATGCGCCCCGCGTGAGTTTAAGCCACCGGGTCTGGGACACGAACCATGGTCGACTACGTGGGAGTCCAGCGACATAGCCATTACGCTAACTGCTGGTCCCTCTTTTTCCATCTTAAAGATAGATTCCTTACTCAGACACTCCCGACTAACTGCCTTTTATCCTTACGTTTTCCCTAACTGTGCAGATCACAGGGATGAATTCCGCCACATTCAGGTGAGACAGACACAGCCAAGACCACGTGGTGAGCTAGTGCCTGACTCTCCGGAAGGTCTCACTGTTATCACGGCCCATGCATCCCAGCGAAAGTTTTGAGCAGCGTGTCTTTCCCACGCGCTCAAGAATTAGGCTCTTTAGGCCAGTACATCTTTTTTTTAGGATTATTTAATTTAATTTGCTGATTCATTTATTTTAATTCTACCATAGAAAGACACAGAGGGAGAAAAAGAGAAAGAAAGAGGGAAAGTGAAAAAGCAAGCCAATAGGCCCAAGACTTGAACCACGGTCAGCCATGTGGGAGTGTCCAGCGCCTTAACCACCATGCCACCTGCTGATCCCCTAGGCAGTACATTTAAACGGGACATTTTTGTCCACAGGGAGACATTTGACCATGTCAGGAGACATTTAGTCATCGCAGGCAGGAGGTGTGGGCAGGGGATGGTACTAGTAGTATCTAGTGCGTAGAGGCCAGCGATGTCTTAACCATCCTGGGATGCGCAGGACGGCCCCATCAGCACCCCACGACTAGGAATGGCCCAGCCCCAAGCGCCAGTGGTGCTAAGGCTGGAAACCGTGCTGTAGGCGATGGGGGGTGTCTTACAGAGTCCCGGAGCTCTGCTTTCAGGCAAGTAGTCTGCCCCGCACTGGACACTGACAAAAGCTGTCAAATCGACAGTCCTGGCTTCCTCCTCTAGATTCGCGCTGGGAGGTTCTGCTTGCTGTCTAGCTTCAGTCTCTCCTGTTTCTAGCTGAACGTATTTCCTGTTGGTTAGTGCTCACTCGCTTGCGCGTGCTCTTTCTATATACATATATGTGTGTGTATGTATATTTAGGTTTTTGTCATAGGATGGATGTGCTCGCCAGAGAGAGAGAGAGAAAGCGAAAAATCATTCCCCCCGGGGGAATGGCCACACTACAATCCTTTCTCCATTCTCCTCTCAGGCTTCTGGGTACGCATACACATGCACCTGGTGTGGGTGGCTAAGGGGCTTGAAGACTGTAGCCTTTCGTTTTTTGGCCCATTTATCACCCCGTTTGAACAGAGACCAGCTCCCCTGCTGTTCTGATGATGTGATAGCTCTGAGCCTCTCTCATCAGCTGCTTCTGTGTGTACGTGTCTGTCTGTCTGTCTGTCTCTCCACTCTCCAGATCCCCTGGGCCCGACCTGGCCTTCCTGACTTCCTGTCCTGACAAGAACAAAGTTCATTTCAACCCGACCGGCTCGGCCTTCTGCCCTGTCAGCTTGATGAAGCCACTGTTCCCCAGCATGGGCTTCATCTTCCGCAACTGCCCCTCCAGCCCGGGCTCTCCTCTTCCCCCTGCCAGCCCCAGGCCACCACCTCGAAAGGATCCAGAGGCCTCCAAGGCCTCCCCACTACCGTTCGAGCCATGGCAGCGCACCCCACCATCAGAGGAGCCAGTGCTTTTCCAGAGCTCCCTGGTGGTCTGAGGGTGCCACCCTCCCACCCCCAGTCCCCACGTTACCACGGAGACCAGTGCCTTGGTGGCAGGCCCTCCCCTGCTCCCCGGAGATGGGGATGGAGGACCCTTCCCTCTCGGCCTTCGAGCACTTTCATTTATTGTGTCAAAGCCCCGGATCCTCTTTCTGATGGACACCGGCCCCTCCCAGCGGGAGGGGACCTGCCTTCTCCACTAGCAGCTGGGCAGCTCACAGCTCTCACCTGTGAAGCCGCCACCTCCCTCACGTGGTGGAGACTCGCCTAGAAGGTCTTGAGTCTCCCACCCCTGAAGGAGTCCAAGTGACTGTATAGGAAGCCCCTATCCTTGTCATGGAGCAAGCTGGCCCTGAGCAAAGGAGGGGACACCACAGATGTCCTTCCCTCTCCTCCTCCACAGACTGGAAGAGGAGACCAGAAGATAGACGCCCCCATCCTCTCATCCCCATTCCTAAGCCTCCCTCTCACTGGGGGAGCTGACCAAAGCAGCCCTAAAGGGCCAAAACACTTGACCAGCTGCTGGCAGAGGGGGAACCAGGCGTTTTTCCCAGTGGCATTTTCATCTCGCTTTCACCCTGACTACAGATTGTCTTAAGCAGCAGCCCAGCCTGCCCAGCCCCAGGTGGGCAGTGGGGGAGAGGGAGAGCTGGCGTTCCTCCAGGTGGCAAGGGGCGACTCTGCACCCTCCACCTGCCCCAAGGCTGGGCTGGATTTGAAAAATGCCTATTTTTTCTTGTATCGATGTAGAAACTCTATTTTCTCCCAAAGACACTATTTTTGCAGCTGTTTGAAGTTTGTATATTTTCCGTACTGCAGAGCTTACACAAAATTGAAGAAGAATGTTGATGTTCAAGTTTTCTTATCTTGTGTTTAGAGGTTGTTTTTGACACTATTTTTGCAGCTGTTTGAAGTTTGTATATTTTCCGTACTGCAGAGCTTACACAAAATTGAAGAATGTTAATGTTCAAGTTTTCTTATCTTGTGTTTAGAGGTTGTTTTTTTGCAGATCTTGGTGTTAATAGACCAAATAAATAAATATGTGTTCCCAGCAGCTTGGGGCTCTGTTAAATATTTGGGGACGGGGGGGTGGGGTGGAAACCGAGGTTATTGTACTCCACCCTCCTCTTCAAGAGAAAGCCTTTAGCTGGCACAGCATCCTGTGGCTCCGGGGTTCCGTGGATGGACGCAGAGTTCCCATCCTCTGGCCAGCACGCTCGGACTCCTTACATGGACATGTAAACAGCAGGCCCGTGAAAAAGCTGTCTAGAATGAAGACTGCGCTGTGTCCTGGAGTGAGCTGAGGGAGTCACTGGGGAAGTCACCCATTCTTGCTTGAGTGTGAAAAAGCTCCCCAGAGAGTAGATTTCAGAGAGAAAATGAGGTTGACCAAGGGAGACAGCGATACAGTGGGTACTTTTTGCACCAGGAGGGGGAACAAGATCAGGGAATAGCCCGGAAGACTCTCAGCACAGCTATAGGGAAGCTTGGGCTCCTTTAAATACCACGGCACTGTGCAGCCTTGGAAGGTTCCGAGAAACTGGTTTTGTCCTTTCACAGCCTCTCAGCTTTATAAACTGCAGCAGCAAGGGCTCTTAGGCATTTGAGAAAATGGGAATAACCATCCTAACATTCTGATTGTGCTCTGGGATGTACAAAGCACTTTCACAAAACACTGCCCCTATTATATGGGTCAAAAGTGGACTGTTCCAAAGGCAGTCATATTAAGTACAATTGTATCAGTCTCATAAGACCGCAGGACAAACGCCTAACAAGGCTATCCCCACTACACTATCAAGTATTGTGTTCAATGTTTTACATGTCGGTGAAATATGACAGCCACCCAGGAGAGAAATGCAGTGAAGTCCCATTATACGAATGAGGGAAGGACAAAAATACTGCATAACTTTGCCCAAAAGACACAGATACAAAGCAGGGGAGCGGGATTGGAAACCTGATCATTTGAATCCAGTGCCCATGTTTCTAGCCACAGCGCCCTTCTGCTTATTACATTCCCATTCATTTCGCATGTGAAAACTGAGTCAAGTTCATTGTTTGAGGTCTCAGCTGGTCCAGAGGCAGGGCCTAACTGGAACCCAGGTCTCTCACCCCGCTGCTGTTGGGTGCCCTGGACTCGCAGGTTGATTGAGTAGAGAGCAGATGTGTGGGGAATCCCACCACCCACTAACAGACCGGGCTGGGGACAGACTGGATCTCTCTCTCACCCCTCCCCCTGCAAGCTGTCCAGGGTGCCCCCAGGGCTCAGTGAGTCAGGCCCCTGTGATGGGTGTGGTGCTGCCCAGTGCTTCCTTCCTTTGCCTGAGGCCGTGCCAAAGCAGCGGGCGGCTGCAAGAGTCTACCCAGACAGCAACCCGGAGACCAACAGGCTGCCTGAGATTTGAGCTGGTTATTGAATGGGGGTCCCAGGCGACACCCAGGATCAGCCTTGCCCTAGCGGGTGGGTGCCCACAGGTGAAGATCTGACCCTTGGATGAGGGAGAGGGCGGGCGAGGAGCTCACTAATGAGAATCCGGATGCTGCTGAAAGCTTTCTCCTCTGGTAGGTGAGTCGTTAAGACCTCAAAGAAAGTTCAATAAGCTGGCATTTCCACCTCTGGCATGTGAGGACATAAGATCAGAGTTGAGAAAGAGTAATGACTAATATTACCTTAAACTTGCACTGCACACTTTACACTTTATAAAACACTTTCACAAAACTCACCTCATTTGAGTCTCAAAACACCAAGAAGTGGCAAGACGGTACTTTAAATTATCCTTCTACAGACGGGGAAAACTGTGGCTCAGCATTTAGGTGACAAGCGTTACGTTACGCTTTACAGAGCTGGGACAAGAGCCCTGACCTGGCAGAGGCTAACCGCGCCGCTCTCGCCCCTGGAAGCCTAGCGAAGTGCCGACAGAGATGGACTGCTCTCCAAAGCCAGGCCTTGAACCTCTTCTGGTCAAGAGCAGGTAGAGTCGCTGACGCTGGGCAGCAGCTAGAGGGCGCTGAGGCTCCCGTGTGAGTTCCCGGCGTTAGGACCCCGCAGAAGTCCTAAGTCCTGGTGGCGGACTGGGGAAGAAAAACAATTCGCTTGCCCTGGCAGTCGCTCCTCCTCCTTCCCCGCCCACCTGTCTGGTTTTGCACAATGCAGCCAATTGGTGACCTCCACATCTGTAGACGTCATCGCGCTGCGCCTGGATTCCTCCTAGGCCACCCCGCTGAACCCCGGGTGGCAGGTGTCCTCACAGTTGCCTGATCAGAAAAATCTCAAAGGAGAGGAAGTAACCCCGAGGCATCTGGCTCCTGTAGTCGCCAGAGATGGAGCCAAGATACCAGGGCGGATCCTCTTTTCTAGGAAGTGGCTGCTGGGCTCTGAGGAGTTTCGCCTTCGGTAGCCCTGAGCTGGCAGTGCTAGCGGGGACTACTGGGTCCTGCGGAGAGGCAGTCGCATGCAGCTCCTATGAGGCCTCTGCCGCCGGTCGGCGATGTCCGGCTGGAGCTGGCTCCTCCGCCG